AAGATGGCCGCTACAAGGCCAGGATCGTTGCCAAAGGTTTCAAGCAGCGTGAAGGCATCAATTACGATGAAACGTATTCGCCGACGGTAAACATGACGACCGTCCGCACATTGATGGCGCTTGCTACTTACCAGCATTACCATGTGCATCAGGTGGATGTCAAGACGGCGTTCTTGCACGCGCCACTTGATGAGGACATCTACATCCGAGTCCCTCGTGGTCTGGAGGCTGGACTCGGTGGCTGTGAGTATGCCAAGCTGAACAAGGCAGTGTATGGCCTGAAGCAGGCATCCCGTGCCTGGTATCTCGAACTTGATAAGTATTTGCGTGACATCATGCAATGTCGTCGACTGCGACAGGATGAGTGCGTCTACGTCTACAAGGAGGACACGGACATTGTATGGGCTTTGGCCTATGTTGATGACATTTTGCTTGTCGGCAGCACAGAGCGCATCATCAACAATTTCAAGCGCAAGCTCAAGGGCAAATTCGAGACCAAGGACTTTGGCCAGATCAAGAACTTTCTCAACATGGAGTTTACCATTTACCAGGACTCGATCATGATCAAGCAGACGGCCTTCATCGAGAGCATCCTGAAGGAGTTCAACATGGACTCGTGCAAGCCAATGACCACACCATGGACAACCGGTGTGAAGCTGGAGCGTGTGACCAAGACTGAGGGCGACTTTCCTTATCGCCAACTGATGGGCAAGCTGAATTATCTTGCAACTCACACACGCCCTGACATTGCTGCAACTGTGAGTCTTCTGAGTGCTCACAACCAGTGTTTTGATGAGACTCATTGGCAGGCAGCCAAGCGCCTGCTGCGCTACCTCAAAGGTACCAAGGATTTGGGTATCCGCTTTGAGGATACACAGGAGCTGCAACTTGCAGTCTACACCGATGCAAGCTTTGCTCAAGAGCATGACAAGAAGTCTCGTGAAGGTTGTGCCATTTTTCTGTGCAATGGCCCCATTTACTGGCGTTCGAAGCGCCAGACCACGACTGCGACTTCGACTGCAGAGGCTGAGTACATGGCTGCACACAGTGGTGCTGCCAAGGGTGTTGTGCTGCGTGAACTGATCAACGAGTTGCTCATTTTGCCTGAACTCAAGCCACTTGTCTACTGTGACAACCAGCCTGCTATTGCCAACGTGATCAATGGCAATGCCCAGCGCGGACAACACCACACGCTGATCAAGTTTTATGCTCTGCGCGAGATGTACGAGCGTAACCAGGTTGATATTGTTTATTGTCCGACCGACGACATGACGGCTGACGTTCTGACCAAGCCGTTACCCCGCGATGCTCATGAACGCCATATGCGTAAGTTATGCTTCTCTGCTTGAGGGGGAGTATTGGAGTGCAAGCATCGACCACCTGCCAGATCCCTCTGGAAGGATTGCATAAGTGTACTCGACGATGTGCAGCTGCCGCCGCCCGTCGAGGAACCCTCTCGTACACTCTGGGTGTGTTTAGCCACCGGATTATAAGTACGGTCCCGCTGACCGTGAGTGGCATTTTCTTTTGGATATTTCCCTTCCTGTTTTCTATCGTTCTCTCCTGTGAGAGAAGTGCAATTGAACCGCTTTACTGTCTCAGCTCAAATCGTCTTTCAATAGATTTCCTCGAGCAGCACTTTGGTCTCCTCAGAGACATTGCCCTTGTCGGGGTGGTAGTGCCGAATGGCGTGTTGGATGCGCTTTTTCCCCTCGGCAGTGGGCTTGGTATGCTTCTTGTTCAATGGGGGGTGCTTGTCGTAGATCATGTCGATGAGGCTGTCCAGGCCTTCGGTCGAGGCTTCTTCAAGCTTCTTCAATTCGGGCGCCAATTTTTCCAAGTAAGGCTTGCGCTTTGCTTCCCATGCACTACGTTCTCGTGCAACAAGCTCCTCCTGGTAGGCCTTCACAATGTCTGAAGCAGTTTGATGCCACGGAACAAAGGTGAAGACGCGCGGGTGAAGCGAGCTGGCCAAGTTCAAAGCCTTAACGCAGTAGTTTTTGCCGCGGACAGGCTGCTTGAGAATCTGCAACAGGCCATGCGATAACCAGCTCTCATGAGGGGATCGAAGCAACCATGATTGCGGGTGTCTTTCGTGCCATGAACTCAATCGACCTTGGAATAAATGATGCCAAGGCGCGCAATGGCCTCGGCTTCCTGTGCAAGGTCGGCTCCATCGGAGACAAATATGGCTTCATGGTAGGCATCAACCGAGTCCCACACCAGATCCATGAGCAGGTTCTCGTCATCCCAGAGCGCGGATTGTTCTAAGCGGAGGCCCTCACGAATCATATGCAGAGATCGAATCACCCTGCCTTGGATATGGATTTCTTCAGAGCCAATCCGCAATTCTGCGAGGTCTTCCGCGTGGAGGCGACAGGCTTTTTGGGCCGCTTGTTGAGCCGTGCTATCAGCCTCTTCCGCCTCGCCCAAAATGCTGAGTGCGTCGGAAAGCTTTTCTTGAGAGTGCGCTTGGACGGCTTCGCGAAAGAGCACGCGACGCTGCGCCATGGCGAGATGAGCGATCGTGTCTGGCACTGGGTTCTCCCCTCGTAAAGTTTGAATCCATGAACCCAGGATGCAGGCTCGTTTCGAGCGGCGTGGTTCAATTGTTCCGAGAGCTTCGGCCATCTCACTCGCCACTCTGCCAGCTTCGATCATGAGCCGGATCGTCCAAGTCGCATGGCTTCCATGTGCTTGCAAGCCATCAAGTCGGGCTGATGCAAAGGAACGCATGGAGGTCAAGGCGTAATGGGTTAGCATCCTTTGCTCTGCCGCAGGCAGGGCGTCGGATGCGCCAGCAGCGCCAACTCTGGCGGTGTAGCGACGAACATGGGCCTCAAACAGGCGCGCGTGTGCCATTGCGAGATTTTTATGGGCTGACGCCCTTGAAAGAATGTTCCTCCCAGCTGCAGTCTCGGCCTGGTAGTATAGTCTTTGGCAGCGAGCGCACACAATTCAAGCAGAAGATCAAGAATTTGCTTGTGTGCAAGTGGCACGAACGCTTTTGCACCGACTGCACTTACCGAATGGCATCCTTGAGGCGGGCCTCAACAAGGACCGGTGCCAATCCAGGGGCACTGGCACCTTGGTAATGCGCGTTGCCTCGGACTCGCAGGCGCTTGCTTTCAATGACCTCGGACATGCTTGCGTTGTGGTGGCTCGGGACGAAACCAAAAATGACAAACACGATTCAAAACCAGGCATTGGAAGCCCTCACTGCATGCCACGATCTATTGGTTGTGGTGGCATGTGTTGGGCTATGAGAACCTTACCTTTATAATGACACACCCACTGACTCCAAGAGACACCAGAACAGATCAAGACCAGTGGGGGAAAGAGAGAGACAGAGACATCGAGGGAGATCAAGAGAGAGATCAAGAGAGAGATCAAATGAGAGATCAAGAGAGATTGAGAGAGAGAGAGAGATCAAGAGAGAGAGAGAGAGAGAGAGATCAAGAGAGAGAGAGAGATCAAGAGAGAGAGATCAAGAGAGAGAGAGAGAGAGATCAAGAGAGAGAGAGAGAGAGAGAGAGAGAGAGAGAGAGAGAGAGAGAGAGAGAGAGAGAGAGAGATGGAGGAGAGATCGAGAGAGATCGAGAGAGATCGAGAGAGATCGAGAGATCGAGAGAGATCGAGAGAGAGAGATCGAGAGAGAGACTAAGAAATTAAGAGCGTGACACTCTGGTCTGCTTGCAACCCTTCTCATCCTCTCTTTATTACAAGCAGAAGAAGTGAAGTTAAAACCACAATTATTTTCTCCACAAAAATAAAAAAAACCTGTTAACCCCACACACTGAACTTGACACACTCCGCTCTCTTGAAAGCATAACCCCCATACCGCGTCCCACGTCCCGCTTCTTCCACCTTTTCTGCCCCTTCCGTGCCTCTGTTCTTCGTGTCTTATGCGATTACGCTTTGTCCAATGCACCAACGCGAAGTCTCAACTTGCTCTTCTTCTGCCCTCCAAATACTCCCCAAGCAAACAAAAGCCCCTTACGACAAGCTGTGACCCCAAGTCCATTGACACACATGAGCGCTCCCCTGAGTTTGTTCGGACTCGAGATGACAACTGCTTTCGTGGGGGTCATGGTCGATCCACCATCATTTTCTTTGGAGAAAACAAAACCAGAAAGGTCGATGTCTGCCAAGATTTTGATCTGCCCTGCACCTCACGCCCACAACGGTCCCGCATGGCAGCAATTGAGGTAGTGGTGACCAAATCAAAGCCGTCTACTGTTCCAGTGCCACGGATGCC